TGGCAATCATCAAGCCACTGGGAGTCCGCTACATGTAGTGGAACTTTCCGCTCAATGCGCTCACCACGCGTATAGCCATACCCAGCAGATCAAACAGTTTGTTATGATGGCTATATACATGACCAGGCAGTAATGGGTTTACAATCAGCTAGCCCAGTTTTATCTGGCCACACAAAAAATGATCAAATGGTACAAGATACTCTTCAACTTGCTGAACTTGGCAGATGTCAATAGTTCTTGTTGATAAGATGCCAGAAGATGCCCCTGATGCTCCTGCCAATGACCACACATGCCAAAGACACTCTCTCCTGTAAGTTGTGTGCCTACTGCTGGAAACAGATGGGGAAGAGGAAGAAAAACAAAGCAATGTGCAAGATCTGCAGGGTCTATCTATGCCCTGCCCCTGCTTTAATAAGTACCACACTGCTCAAGGTTACCAAAGTAAAAGAAGAAGAACAAGTATTTTTGTCCTTCTGTCAAAACACCACTTCCTTTACACAGTAAACTGCCACCCACATACAGTAATATGGAGCCTCCAAACATGAACATATAGTATATAGTAAACAGTAGTTATAACCATTTCCCACAAATCACCACAAACAAACTTTTTGAGGCAAGTAGACCAGGAAGGTTGTATACAGCAAATGATCCAGCAGGAAGGAAATATGTCTGTAAGTATTCCCTGGAAGGAGTGTTGGACAGTGAATTCTCACCCTCTCAACATAAGGTCAAATTCATTATGTTAATTCACAGATCCCTACCATTTGATCTACTTAAATCATCAACTTACATGTAAGGCTGCAACCAAAAAAGTTACACATAAGAAGTAAAGGTTTGTATCTGAGAAAATGCCCTTCACTTCATCCAAGTCCTTATCTGAGAATCCTAAATGTGCCATAGGATGCAGTGCAGCTTCAAACTGCATCCATAATCTGAAATATTAGATACCATTCTTTATAACAAGCTGGGATATAAAAACTTTTCTTTTGTAATTTCTTTCATTTTTCCATTAAACTAGTAAGTGCAGACATGTAACTATGTCTCAGGATTTTTTGGGTGTTCAATAATAGACAATATCATTGTATCTTACAATAGTTTACCAATATATTATGCTATCAGTTGCACAACAGAAACTAATCTTTCTAATATTTTTTTTTATAAACATTTCTTTCTCATCTAAAATTCTTCTTCCAATAATAAAGGTTGGTCTTACCTTATTTTTCCATATGATATTGGGCTGTATTTTAGAGTCAAGTTTGTCTCTTTCATTGAAGAATCTACTTCCACCAAATCTCTTAAGCGTGCACTAAGACTATCCACATACAGGATTGGGAGGTACTGTCCATTGGAATCCAACCTGTATATGAAAGTTTGATGATAAGTTTCCAATAATGTACCCTAAAAGAGGATTCTTCTATTCTAATACTAAAAAAAAGGTAGAAGTGAGATGGAGCTGTAGTGCACACAAGGCAACCTGAACTTTATAAATAAAATATATGACTTCCTGAAATCTACAAATCTTTTAGGGCCACATAGCAACATGATAATATCACAGGACATCATAATCAGGGGAAAAACATGCATGAAATTCAAACCATGAGGAAAGGTATTCTTTTTCTCATAACCTCACCTGAGAGAGCGCCCTATATCATATGGCACAGCATTACGAGGAAGACTAACAGGATCAGTAAGAATGTTAAACACTATTAGCGACTGGAAGTGGGTGACTGGTCTTTTTCTCCCTGATTGGGGTTTTTGCTTCTGAAATACATAATCATTATCTTAGTTCTTAAAAACCTTTTTATTATTCATGTTACAATTAACTGATAAAACAGCACCTAAAGTTTCATGTTTCTAGAAAATGTTATAGAACACCAATCACACATGAACAATTCTGATGTTTTTACAACTAATCAAATAAGGAAGCATTTAAATATAATTTCAACAATTATTTATTCAATCATAAAGTAGAGGCAAAATGTTTAAATGCACCAGCTTCCATAAACCTAATGGCCTTCTGATTCCCAAAGATTGGAAACCATTACACCAGCAAGCTTCCAAGGCAATTTGATGCAAAATTTTCAACCTCTTTCCAAATTGGACAAAGTATAATATATAAGCTATCAATATATAAGTATAATATATAAGCTATCAATATATAAGTATAATATATAAGCTATCAATATATAAGTATAATACATAAGCTATCAAAAACATTCTACATGGTAACAAAAGGAGTTTTGCTTTCTCAAATCTACTTTTCATATTCACTCACAGTCAATTATCACATATCTCAATTATATTTTAAATAGGCAATAAAGGCAATTTACATCATGTATGCAATTCTTCATCTCCATACATGTACAAAAATTATTCCATGAAATAACTCAATGAAGGGACACAATAATTCACTTCATACATATTAATGTATCATAAAACAAAAAAGAGACTCTAATTTTGTTGCCAATTTAATTTCATGCCTTTTTTAGACTGCAACCAACTGCAAATCAACCCTTATTACTGTTGTAATAGACCCTATTTACTGCAAATATATCCTAATTGTACCCTTCAAACTTCAAACTCTCTCAAATTGACTCAACTGTTATTTTTCTCTTTAATCTTCCAACTGACTTAACCCACTAAAATAGGTGTCCCTCTCCTGGGACCATTCCCAGGCGACTCATATGTAAAATGCTTTTGTTCTTGGCTGTCTTCCAGGTGTCTCACGTATGAGACAAAATGAATGGACCTGAGTAACATCTGTTATGTCTACATGCATATTTAGACAGACTCCCAAGGCTATAAAAGGTTAGTAAAATCGGAGCTTAGGCTCTGATCTGGTCACCCGTGGTGTGTGGTTCATGAGGGGGTCCCCAGCAGTTGCCACTCTCTGCTATAGATATTCCCTGGAGAAGAGGGTGTATTTCACTCTGAAGGAACTGTCACTAGTGGATTAAATCTCACACAAACAGGCTTCGAACACAGCTCTGATATTTCTCACACAGCAGACTTTATTTCCAATTCTGATATTCCTAGCACAAAAAGGCTTCTACTGACTTCCGAGCCATAGACAAGAATTATACATATGACAGGTTTCACATTTCTTACCTTATTATAAAAAATAAAAAATACACATACATAAATACAAAAATGAAAAATGCTTCTTCAAGTTTTTAATGTGCAAAGTAATTATGGTACACTTAAAGTCACCATGGACCATCAATTGTCAGCTGATGATTTCCAAGTTCTACCACAGGCTGCAATGAGGTAAACTGTCGTTGTCCAAAGATGAGTGCAAACATATAATTTTGGAAATGTAGTTGCTGAGCAAATTGCTGCTGCATCATGTGCATCATCTATTGTTTCTTCTGCTGGAACATTTGCAACAGATCCTTACTTCCCTGTGGAGTAGGGATTGGTGATAGCTGTGGAGCTGTTGTTGATGCTAGCACTAAGGTTTCATACTGATGCCAAAGTTGAGGCATTGTTTGCATTGTGCTCAATTCTACAATTAACACATTTCCTAGGGAGATGATTATCTTGCAAAATGCAGTGAGTGATTTAAAATCCTAAATGGTTTGGGGAATTTTCTCCATTTTGTATGGTCATGATGAATCTCAGTCACCATATCATTAATTCTAATACACTAAGGATGTAAAATGTTCATTATGGTGAAGTTCCCTTATCCACAAAACTTTGCTCTTTTCCAGGATTTCTCCTTGTGCTCCAATTATATTCTTACACTAAACATAAATATTATTCCATCCTAGTTTTACTTCTAGAGCTCCTTTAATTTTGTTAAAAAGGGCCACCTTTAGGACATGAAGCACTCTCTGGTATTTGTCTCAATGCATTCCTTGCTTTGTCTCTATTTCAAAATATGCACATTCATGGCAAAGTAAAGTAACTTCTACTTCTTACTTGTCTCTTTATATTTTTTCTTTATTTGCTATCAGTGTCTATAACCTTTACTGAGATGCCCATCTAAATCAGAACAGAAAAACTGGCATGGGATTCACTGTTTCAACAGGTGTCCTAAAGACAGGTCATTTGCCAAAACATCATTAACACATGCAGTCAATATAAAGTCTGCACTACTAAGGTATGTAATACACAGAACATGCAGTAGGTCACTGCAACCCAAAAAGCTCTTTGTAGAAACCATGATCAGGTCACACTAAGTCACAGCAGATCAAAGTCATTGTGGACCAACACTGGACAACATCAAGGTCACTGACCTTGACTTTGCTGATAATGTTGCCATACTCTCAGAGTCTCTGGAAACCTTAGTGGTGGCTCTTGACAAATTTAACAATGAGGTAAAGTTCTTGGGTTTATAGGTCTCTTAGACCGAGATGAAGATCCAGGATTTTGAGGGCCTGCTAGAACCTGTTCAGTTGGTATGCACTTATGGTGAAGATATCAATGTCACACAGAGCATTACATACCTTAATAGTGTAGTTCATGACTCTGGGCAGTCAGGCAAGGAAGTCAGTAGACAGATTAGTCTGGCAGCAGATGCCATGAATTCACTCAACAAAACTATTGGGAGATGCCAGTTCCTGTGCAGAAGGATCAAGTTACACATCTACAAGGCCCTGATGTTGCAAGTTTTGGTTTATGGAAGTGAAACCTGGACACTATCCCATCTTGATGCCTTTTGTAACAAGCTGGTGGGTTTGCAATTCTTAGAGATTAAACTGATTATGGGTAAGATTTTTAGAATATCAGAGAACGTTTTTAACCTCTTTTTGTGTACTACTAGTATCTGCCATCTACAAATCTTCAGTGTAATACAGACTGATATTACATGTCACAGGAGCAGTTCAGGATTTATCCTTGCCAAATGAAATATGGCTTGTACTTGACTCCCATTTAAATTTTGGACATGTACAGTCAAAAACTGGAAACCACAAGTGTCATTTTCCATTTTCAAAGCCATTTTCAAACATTTAAACCAATATATCAACTTAAACTAATTTTTCATGTCTTCTATTACTGCTACTACATCCAAATATTGTAATATTAAGAATTATTCACTTAATGGCATGTAATATTCATATAAATTTGATTCATTTGGATCCATAATGGATTTCACAGTTATGTTCTATGCTCTTCCATAGATCTGTGTATTTTTTTTAAACAACCAAACTTGATTACAGTCATGTTGCTTTTATTTCAAGGAAAATTCTTATTAGTACTAGCAGAGCTAAAAGAAAATCTATTTAATATCATCAAGAATTCAAAGAATAAACATTCATAGGACATCAGAGAAGCTTAATTATATCTATATCCACATAGATGAATGTCTGCATTACCCCTGTATATGAATGTAATTTGAACATTTGGTTAACGAAATTGAAAAACACAATTATAATCAAATATACCTGATATTATTGTTTTCCAACACTGGTGGATAGTAACTGTCGTCTGGCCTACAGATTATAAATTGATGATGAAATCAAGAACGAGGATGCATCATACCCTTCACAAAGAGTAACCTTACATGTAGATAGAGTAAAAGCTTATCCTTAATATTCTTCAGCCATTACAAGATCCAGTCAAAAAGTTCTGAGATCATGTCTACATAAAGGAAATTCCATTTTTTATCTAAATTCAACCACCCTTCTTTTTAGAGTATTCATCTTGTGCTATGACACACCACTTCCAATCTTCTACTATGTTCAGGATACTATATGAAAGGCTTGTTCTTTAAGAGAATTATGCATTATTTGTAATTCCTACTGGGTCTCCTTCATGACCCTCCTACATGAAGATCATCTTGGGGAAGAGGAAGTTAATTCTTGCCAAGCTCCTGACCTGCCTCACCTTCTTCAGGCTCTTCCACTGGTACCTGGATCATAGCCACAGATCCACTCATCAAAAGTGATCAACCTTAATATATAGGTTTAGTCAACATGAACCTGTTGAATGAAATTTTTGCAGACTTCTGTAATGCCACTTTGACAGAAGAGAAGATTATGAGCATGAACTGCAGATGGAGCTTGTCATGCTCAAAGAATGGAATTTCCAGAGAGTAACAGTCTGACAAAAACGCTGAAGACATACTGCTGTATTACAGTAGCTATTTCAAAAGCTATGAAGGCCAAACTTAAATCAGATATATCTTTTGCTTTTCACAGGCAGTCTCAATTAAGAACATTTAGGTACATAGTTCTATAATAGAAATGCTAAGTCTAAATATATTCACATCACAGATTCAGACTTCAAATTACCTGCTCTACTGATTGACCTGACTTTCATCTTAAAAGTCTTAGACAAGATTATTGTGAAAAATAGGAAATAAAAGACTATAACTGAAAAAAGGGATAAAGGCCACTTCACCTTCTCTTCTCCACCAAGCAAATTAATTGTCGCAGCTTCAGGAATATGATACTTCGTAAGGTGAGCCATAGCATACACAGCAAGGTCATCCTTGACTACACTACCCCAATCCTGTCAACAAGCAAATATTTTGTTTAAAAAAAGTGTGATTGGACATAATAAAGTTTTAGAGCAATATCATAATATCTTCATTAGCTCAAGGTATATAAACTATATATAAAATATGGCTCCCAAACAATCTTCCTTACCTCTGGGTCAACTGAGGGTGAAGTTAAGAATATATGAAGATATAAGGAGCCATTATTTCTGACTCTTTTAGGTAATAGAACCTCTACTAACTCTTCTTGTTCCTTTAAATAATCAAACTGCTGTACCCTGTGCACCAGTCTGAGGTCTGTAGCATATTCTGGCATCTTTTTCTGCGACGTAAAGGCTAAGAGCTGTAAACAGTGAAACAAAAAATATTACGCATTTCTCTTAGCAGAGAATGTAAACATTGTTAGTTACTTCTTTAAATGAAAATAAATGAAATAATAGAAAAGAAGGTAAACTGGATCATTCTGAGGATGCAAAAGCTTTTTTCCCCTAAAGTATGAGCTGCAGAGCATTAGTGTGAGAGCTATAGATCAAGGTGAACCAAGCAATTTTTTTTTTTTTTTTAACTGAATGATTATCTTCAAAGTTATTAACTAACTTTTGAATATGCATACAAAGAAAATCTACTCATAACTGTGTATGACAGTGACAGACATGAAAAGGGGTTATTATGCATTCAAAGTTTTTCTAATAAACCAACTAAAAACACAAAATGACTTTAAAAACACAACAGTATGTGTGCCTATAAATCTTACCTGAAATTTTGGTTCCTGAGCAATAAGAGGGTGTAAACATTCAGAATATTCTGGACAAGATGGTGGCATGAAAAGCTGTCCCAGGGTCCAGGCAGAATGGATAATGTAAGCTGTAAATACTCCACAGATTACAGTGGTCAGGGAGGGAAGAGTGTAGCCTGTTGCCATTTTACCTTTGTCTGTTTTGAGAGAATATAAAGGAAAATATAGAATGTAATTATCAATTTGATACTGTAATTTTGCTTTACAACCAATTAAATGTCAGTCTCTCTCTATAGAAATATCTATAGTTACTGCACTTTTATAATGTCTGAACTTTCTGCCACACTACCACTAACAATCAAAAGAAGTTACATTAAATAATAAATATCTATTGGACTGATTTTGGCCCACTGGTAAATAAATAACATCAACTCAAGTAGTTTATATCTATAGTGCTACCAACTATGCAGCCTATTGAAGGGTGTGTTTTGCTGAATATATGTCACAATGATTATCCTTTTCCCACAGGGGAAAGAGTTTGTTGTTTACCCCAGGTAAAGGTTTGCCACTTAAAGTAGCCAGGCATCTTGACAGAAATACTGAGCTCACTTGTACCCGATCAAGCAATCAGGAGCCAACCTGCTCCCTCATGACCAGACTATATTATATACAACTCTGTAAATATACCACATGATTAGAGAAAATAAATCAGTTTTAACTCTCTATTCAATGCATATTCATTACTCCTAACAGGATCAATAGACCTTTTTTTCTTTGAATCCATACTTCAGCTACATTTTATGCTGTTCTTTACTACTGCAGTTACATTAGTAGCAGCAGCTCTTGAAATCATATCTATTCTCTCTACATTTCCAAATACTCCAAGATGTCATAAATATTGTTACAATTTTACAGGTTATCAATATAGATACACAAAATGAACAGCCCATTAATAAGCAATTCTAAAACAATTGAAATATAAAAATACACACATAATAGGATAAACTAGATCCCTCTTTACTTTAAATGTATAACACACAATACATGCCATACCCAACAAAATTTAGAAAAGAAGATTATGTTTGCTTTGGAATGTATCAACATGAACAAGGGAAAATAAAGTAATATTAAAGAAACCAATACATGTGTTGCATTTGGATTTATGATATGATAACTTACATATTTTATTTTCCATTTTCTATTGCATTTCAAAGTTAAACTATAACTATACTGGCATTCTTAAATCCAAAAAATTATCTACATTTGGCAGTAAAAATTAAATTTGGGAATCTGGCTATGAGAAAATGAAGCGACAATATTTTAACTGACAGCAGATAAGAGAGCAGGAGGTCAGTTAGCAGTGACCATTCCTTCCACATTCTCTTACAAGATCTTTAAATTTTAGACCAAACCCATGCATTTTGGCAAAATTATTTTGATAATTCTTTACAGCATGGAAGCACTCACCAGAGACTAAGTAACCCAATTCCACATCACAAAATTTATTCAACAATCTAAGTTGCCATGACTGGGCACCTGAAGAGAGGGTTGATAGGGGGCTCTGGCCCTCAACACATTGTCTTCACCTCAATATGTACAGGAAGATAGAGATGAAACCCTGGAGCACTGAGTGGACTTAGGCTGTGCGAGCAATAAACACGTTTTTCTGTTTTTACCACATAGTTCTCATATTTGTTAGCTGCACAAAGTTGTCAGAGTGCCTGTTTGCTGCAAAGATATTTTTGCAGGCCTAAATGAATTATTAATTAATCTGAACCGTACTAGGTTGTGCCATCAATGACAACCAATTTCAACAGCATAGAAAGAATAAATAAATAATGTATCATCCGTCACTAATGTTACATTTTTTTTTTTTCTTTTTTTTGACAAACTGAAAATCTAACTGGCCAAGTTATGATTTCTGAAAATAAGTGTGCATATAAAAAGGTGGTAAATTTCAAGTTTCATCCAGCCTCCGACTTTCGAAACCATTTTTTGGTAAATTTCAAGTTTCCATAGAAGATACGTTTCTTAGATTTATTTGCTCTATCACATGCATATATTTTTTTCCAGATTAAACGAGGCTAGTCAAAACTTAACCTATACCAAAAAGGTTGCCAGATCCCTTTCCGCAATAATTTTCCTTTATTTGTGGTTGCTGCCTGAGGGTTATTTCATGTACTGACGACAGCATCTTTTAGTCCTCTACATGACTTTCTTCAATTTCCCTATCTTAGTGCATCCAAGCCATAAAGATTAACCCTTAATCTTATTGTACTTCTTTAGGAATAAGCTTTTTATAATGGAATGATTAGTTTCAACATAATAGCAGTGCAAGATCTTCACTATATGCTCAAACAAATGCAAACCTCCAGCCATTCTTTTCCTTAAGAGTTAGAATTTGTAATAGTTCCTCCTTGAATAAATTATTACTAGGAAAGTCTACAAGCACTATCAAGTCACATTACATGCAGTGGAAGCTTCTTGATCATTGTTAAAGCACCAACAGGCATGGAAGATGCACCAAATGCCATTAGGCAGTGGTGGATGCATAGGTGTCTTTGTATCATATACTGTAATGTAACATTCCAGATTCAATGTAAATACTCTCAAGTCTAAACAGTTTACTATGTAGAATACTAATTTGTAAAACTAATTTTCTTACTGTTGCAGCACATCTATTACTTGTTTATTTATATATATTTTTATGAAACTATTCTGACTACTCTTTCAATTCAAATGGATTATTTGTTTTTATTTGATAACAAATTAGATTATAAAAATTAACAGCTCAAATTTATCAAGTTGCATATGACAATCTTAATAGGAATTTAAGCTATAGTTTCCAAAAAAATGTCTTTTCTGCCTTGCAGAAGCTAATGAATTACATAGATTTGGTAATTTCAAGCAACCTTTTCTTTAAACTGCAACTTCCAATTCGAAGCTGTCAAACCGAAAGCACATATGTTCTTCAAGAGTAAGAAATCCACACCACTGTAATTTCATCTATTTCAAATATCGCAAACGTCTTCTTTACACTTGAAAGCTTGTCATCTAGTTAAGAACGTTACCTTATTTAGTACCAACAACCATGCAACCATATGTCAGGGAGTTCCATATATATGAGAGGCGAGGCGACCTGCCTTTTACGTGTGGTTTCTCGACCGCTCTCATATAGCCAAAGTAGCCATTGTTACCGGCATCACGAAACAGACATCGAGAGTAAGCAAAGAAAAATATTGGCTATATTGGCTATAGAGGTTAACAATCAAAATCAACCTTTCAGACTTTGAAAACAGTAAAGCCCATCATTATAAAAGCACATTGGCACAACCTTCCATTAAAAAGAACCATCTCAATAACGGTTTACCTAGGAAAAATGTTATAATAATTGGGGGAATAAGACAGCCTTTTTCCTTCGTACTGATGTTAATACAGTAAAATAAAATCATTGTAAAAATGAAACCCCTATAAGTGAAGGTATGTATAGCAATACAGATTTAGATAGATGTATGCGGTAGATATGAAGAAGAGAGAGAGAGAGAGAGAGAGAGAGAGAGAGAGAGAGAGAGAGAGAGAGAGAGAGAGAGAGAGAGAGAGAGAGAGAGAGAGAGAGAGAGAGAGAGAGAGAGAGAGAGAGAGAGAGAGAGAGAGAGAGAGAGAGAGAGAGAGAGAGAGGGGGGGGGGGGGATTTGGGTTATAAAGTGAACGAATAGGTGAAAAAATTAAAAAGCTAATGGGGTTTAGTGAACCGGGAAGTGAGAGCGAAGAGGGAGGCGAGGAGTGAGCGCGAGTACTGTATGGTAAGCGTTTTCGCGCATTAAGTCAGCTGCTGTGAATACAGCTCTATTTTTGTGTTTGATTTATGGGTAACCATTCAAAACAGGAAAATGAAGCTAAATGAAGCAGCAGATAGAATTGCGGCTCTTGAAGCCAAGGCATGCAACCCGGTAGCAGAATGTTTGAAAATACGCAAAGAAAACGTAAATTTTAAGGAATTGGTGGATAATTTGCGCAGGAACACAACGATTCAGAGAGAGAATACTGAAAAGTCTGATATGAAAATTAAAGATCTCAAGGAAAAGATGGAAGTAGAAACCAAGATTGGCAACGGTAGTCAAATCGAGGCAAAAAATCTGCAAGAAAAAGTTGATGAAGTAATCAAAGTGCAGGAAACTGTTAAGCATACTGAAAGCAATTTGTCAAGAAGAGGCAAAAGAGATGACAGCTACATATGCCGATGCATCTAAAGTAAAGGAAACTGTAAATGAAATGGAAAAAGGGTCAGAAAAAGACTTCAGGTCACAAAGGAAGAAATAAAAACCACAGCTTGCAGAGACGGTAAAGAAAAATGAATTTAAGTCACACCTTGGGCAACCCGCAAGTAATATTGCAAATTAAGCTGATGTAAACAAAGAGATAATCAGATTGGGACATGAAAAAGATTTTGAAACGAAGACAAGTAATTTGATTGTCAATAGTCTCAAGGTCATAAATCCCAAATTCTCGGAGCAGAATATCACAACCCACAGGTGGTTGGGATTATTCAAAAAGGGAAAGAAACGCCCTTTAAATGTGACATTCATGAATAAGCTAACGTCCTGGCAACACACGAAGAATATAAATGCGTCTTCTGTACGCGTCATTAAAGCTAATTCCAGATTAAAGATAATCCCTCATTATGTTTATAATGTGAGGGCAGTTCGAGGGGAAGAACATCCATGCCGTCGAGACGTCCATAGCATTCTGGAATCAGACCGTTAAGCTGATATTCTGACTGTTCCCGCAATGCTTATGTACCCAATATTTGTAGACAGTTCTTTGTTATATACGGGGTACATTCCTGTCGGCGACAGACGACGGGACAAGGAAATCCTGCAAATCACCGGACAACAAAACTCACGGTACTGGATTCTTGCAGAGTCAAAAACCCACGGTGCTGTATTCTTACAGTCAAAAACCCACGGCACTGTATTCTTACAGTCAAGAAACCCACAATGATGTGTTTTTACAGAACAAGAATAATTGATGACCTTCACCAGAGATGCATTTCCACCTCTTTAGATGCTACCTACCTACTAGGATAGCATTTAGTGATGGGGCACATGTTTGGCAATTCAAACGAATGTCATATGGTCTAAGAATTGCCCCACAGACCTTTCAGAGAACTATCAATATAATATTATCTTCCGTCCTAGGTCGCCACACAGCTGCATACTTGGGTGATGTGGTTATTTTTATCAGAAGTACAAAGGAGCATCTCGGACATTTAGAGGAGGCTCTTAAATTGAGAGTGCTGGTCTGCGTTTGAACCCAGCAATATGTGAGATAGCTCTAAGGAAATTCAAATTTCTTGGCTTTGAAGTATTAGTTGAGAGAATCAGTCCTGATCCCAAAATGCTGACTGCTCTAGCAGAAATAAGCCGCTCGAAAAATGTACAAGGAGTGCGCATATTCCTTGGTGCGGCAGGGTTCTTCCGCCGGCATATAGATGGGTTTGCAAGGTTAGTAGCTCCTTTGACTTCTTTGACAAGGAAGAACAGCAAGTTTATTTGGACTGAGGAATGCCAACAGTCTTTCAAGAGCCTAAAGTGCGCCTTGATGTCTGCCCCTGTCCTTCGAAACCCTATATTTGAGGTTTATTGTGAGGCTTCAGAAATGGCCATCGGGACATGTTTGATGCAGCGTGACACAGAAGACATGCTTCACGCTGTGGCACATTTCTCCAGAAAAAAGAATGGGCTAGAGACCCCCTACAGTGTCACTGATAGTGAGGCACTCACTGATGTTGAGGCAGTAAAGGCCTTCGACCCATATGTTTATGGATGGAAATTCACTGTGTATACCGATCATTGCTCACTGGGCTGTTTTCTCCAGGAAGACCAAAAATCCACCTGAAACATTATGACTTTGATATCACCTATAAGAAATTATTTATACACTGTGTTCCTGATAAGATATCAAGAGCTGAAACAGCCGCGGTTGCTGCTACAGAGATATCGGAGGATAATGACCCACTGGTGCAGAACAACTAAAGGACCTTACCTGGGTACAGACTGTTGAGTACCTAGAAGGTGGATTATTTTTTTCTGCACAGCACCAGTATCCTTGGCTGAAGTTAGGAATGGGGTCGTCATTTGAGTGATTCAACATTACGTCCGTTCCATGCCTCAGGTATAATCAGAACATTTATTAAAGCCAAAACAGTGTTCTTTTTCGCATATATGCTCTCTTTTACTAAACAGTTTCAGGCATACCTAGACTGCCAGATGAAGAGAGGCCATTCCAGCAAAAATGCACTGTCAGTTGCAGCCTCAGAAGTTCCCCGTCCTCTTGAAAGGGTTTCAGCAAACTTGATTCAGTTACCACCAACTGAAAGAGGAAATATTTATATCTTGGTGATAGTTGACCACCTATTCCGTTATGTAGAATTAGTACCTATGCCTGATAAGCGAGCTGTAGCTATTGCCACTGCATTCACCGACAGTTTTGTTAGTGTATGGGCCACCAATGGAGTTGCAGACAGATGGGGGAGCAGAGTTTAATAACAACCTCCCGCTTCTGTGAACTTCAGACTAAATTTATGTTGACACTACCGTACAATCCGCAAGCAAACGGTGTGATAGAGAGAACCAACAGTGTGGTAAAAGAGGCACTGATTGCTCTTTGTGACCAGTCTGCATATTACTGGGATGATGTTCTTCCTCAGGTGAAGTTTGCAGTAAATACCTCACTACACCGCTCTGTAATGGACCAGTCATTGCATTTGTTCCAGGGTCACCCAGTTAATATGCCCATCGGACTGACTATGAAACCAGTCTACGATGAAGCCACACCACAGTTAGTTAGTCCAGATTGCTGCTCAGAAAGCATGCAGGAAAGCTTGAATGGGTCGGACCAGTGATTACGATTGGAAGGTCAGGAGGCATCTGTCTTTGAAGGAAGGATCATTGGTTCTCACAAAGGTATACATACTGTCAAATACGTTGTCGCCCTGTTGGGAAGGCCCAGTCCATGTTGTCAAGAAGTTGTATTCCTGTATGGAGAAGCTCGTGAGCGTAGAGTTCATGTTAATTACTTGAAGCTCTATCATCCACCTCAGGAAATGCATGTACCATATGAGGCGGTAGATGATGAAACTAGAAGTGGACGTTCCTCTTGCTGTTGCCTTGCTTGCTGCCTGTTCATGCTGAACATGGACTGCAGTACAATACGTCGAAAAAGGAAAGATGCAAGACATCGAACCCTATTCTGCAGAACAGTGCAGTGGTCACGGTGCATAGACCAAACCCTCTTATTTTATCTCTGTAAATTTTATTTATGCTAATGTTTACACTATATAATTTTGCTGTCTTGATATTTCAACCAGCAAAATAAGTCAGACCAGAGGATTATTATGAATTAAAAAAACATTTAAAAATAGAGACAGAGGTTAGGCTTCCGCCATGTTTTGTTTTTTTCGCCCGCTCTCGACTTTTGTCAAAAGAGCAGATTAATTTAGGAGACTAGAGGGTTAGCATTGGGACTCTGGGATCGCCCTTTTTTCGAGTTGCAAGACCCACCGAGCCAAAAGTTAAGTAAAGTAGAGTGGATGTTTATGACCACAGAAACTATAGGCAATAATGTATGAGAAAGAAATGTAATGTCTATATAGTCTTTGGAAGAGATCCCTATTAAACATCTCCCTTTTTTCATATATATACAGGGGCGTCACTTAAGGGGGGGTATGGGGGGTTGGTTCACCCCCCAACTCTTAAAAAAGCCTCTTTTTGAAGGGCAAAATCTAGTTCTGCAGGGCAAATTTTCTCTTACGGAATCTGCCTCAATAGCCGATAAGTATTCAAGATATATAAATAACTATATGAAACTAATTGTTGATGATACTTGATTTATAACATTTTCTGGCGCAAAGTGTCTAATGTCTAAACTATCGAATTGATTTTTGAACCCTGTTCTATTCGTTATAGATTTCTTGTTTTTTGGTATTGTAAGAAGTTTCTAGTTAAGTTTTTACGGTTTTTGTTTTGTTCATTTATCATTTGTAAATACTGGTTGATGGTCCATTCTGGGCTACTTATAAAGAGCTAGTGAGCATTTTCGTGATGTGGATTCGCTGTCTGAACACTGCACAGCGTTCGAGGCAGCCCAAGGTATACCACAAGACAGTGACTTGCCGCTGGCTGCAGGCATTCGCCAACTAGCTAAGCCCCATCTGTGCGGTAACTGTGACATACGTATCAGGGAAGACAGTGTACCCCGCCAGGCTACTCTCCTGCCATTGCTGCAGGAAGGTTGGGCACCTGAAAAAAATGTATAGGGGTAAAATAAAGCACACAGTAGCGGCAGAGCATATTGAAACTTCGAGCATTGTGGTTGCTGCTACCAGCAAGGAACCTGCTCAACCACAAATTTATGGTAACTATACCACACAAGAGGGTCGTGTAAACCTACTCCTACAGAGGTGGTGGCTGGACCGAAGCAGCTGGAGCTAGTCCACAGTAACTGCCCTCACCAGCCTCTCATTAGGGCACCTGTCACCACAGACAGCGACGTCACTGAGGCTGAGTGTAGCGGCAACAACCCACAGAGACAAAGGAGGTATTGCTCCCACCATTGAAAGTGCACCGCAGTTGGAGGAGTGGCTCCTCTAACACTTCTCAGAATCAGCCTTCAACAGGAGCTAGCATCCATTGCCTGTGATGGCTAGAATGCCTCATAGGGCCCATTGAGAATGCAAAGCCCTATGCCACATGCCAGCCCTCGTCCCAAATCATGGAGGCGGAGGCGAAGTGACAACTGGACGAGGAAGTGGGGAGGGGAGTGATAGAGCTAGTGCCAGTCAGAGAAGCAATGGAGTGGTGCACAAGGATGGTGGTAATTACCAAGAAGACAGGCCAGCCGCAGCTCAATATCTACTATCAAGCTCAATTCCCCCTGCCTGAGAAAGACTCACTATACCCTCACCCCATCTGACATGGTATTTCGCACCATGTCTACAAGACACAATGGAGAAGGCCAGTGGTAGGCTTATCACATTTATTCCGTCCTGGGGCCGTTATCGATACCGTATGATGCCCATGGTCACCGTGCAGCCCCAGATGCATATACCAGGAAGTACAATAATGCCATCGCGAGATCCCAAGGAAGCTGAAGTGTGTCGACGACACTTTGATCTATGACTACATCATGGAGGGTGCCTTCTAGCACCCGTACCAGTTCCTTAAAACGTGTGCTAACATCACGCTCAAGAGATGGCCTGTCTGCATCAGTTTTACGCTTTAAGGGACAGGCTTGCTATCTGGCAGAGTCTGGTGACATACACGTTTGACCAAGGAGTAATCAGCCTCATGATACTAGAGACCAACCTCTATGCAGGTCATTAGAGACAGCATGTTTCAGAGGGCAAGGCAGGCACTGTATTGGTCCGGAATGGAAGGCGACCTGCAGTACTTTCGTAATGCCTGTGACACCTGCAACACACACGTTCCTCTATCTCTAGCAGCTGAACCACTCATCTTGACCTACTTGCCAAACTGTCCTTTCCAGCACACGGTGGCTGACCTGTACCTAGCGCATGCTGACAGGTGTACAGTCTGGCTCGAAATTTGTCCCCTGCCTCATGGCACTATATGAAACATGATAATGGATTTGTTTCGCCAGTTCTTCACACGATGGGGCATCCCAGAAGACATGTGTGTAATTGAGCTCAGAAGACAAATTTTGTTTTTCATTTTCTTTGTGCACCCTGTGTCAGTATCATATGGGAAGAAAATATACTATTTTTATTTTGTGCCAAGTTACTAAGTGATTGAGGTACACTCATTACAATAAGTATCTTTACTCTTTCTGCTTTATCAATATGATACAACGACTAAAACGGTTGGAAAAAATGCTGTGACCTCAACCTGATATTTTAATCCTTGACAGGGTCATCATTTGGGGCAGTTGTTCTCCCTAGATTGTTTGCACACCCCCCCTCACGGGCCATAATTTTTAGTTAAGAATGCATTTAGAATAACTAGAAAAAGTTCTAATTTTTTGTTCACTTCACTGGACTACATTTTTTAAATTTAGTGTTTTGAAATGTTTAATACATAATATGTTTAATATTTATATTTCGTGTTACAGGCCATCACCTTGACGACTGCTGGCAAGTCTAATTAATTGCTTGGACAATGACGATATGATCTTGGGGGAAGTCTCTGCCCATGGCTGCCCAAACATTCTCATTGAGAATGAGATCTGGCGATTTGAGTGGATGTGGCACAGTAATCTCGGGGTGTCGCCGAAATCACGCCTTCACGACACTACTTGTGTGGATG